ATAATAAAGATGCAGGCTGGAAATGGGAGTGGGAGGATTAAGTGTGATTAAGGGGGCTTGGCCTCACGTTCCAGCTTCACACTACTTGGCCTCCATTCCCACGTGGCTGCAGGGCTGCCTGTGAGCTCCTCCCCCACCAACACCACCCCCCCCAGGCACGTGGCAAAGCCTCAGGGCAAAGGGGAAGACTGACTTTCCGTAGGTAGGGAGCCAGCCCCATTTTTCCTCCTGTGTTGTTTGAGTCGGAGTGGTGGCCTGCCCTCAGCTGTTCCACGATCTGGTCATGATTTGGGGTCACTCTCCCAAAACAGAGACTAGAAGTGACTCACCCAAGGTCATGAGGCCACCACTGGCAGCCAGGATGGGATTCCAGGTGTCTTGACTTGCAGCCCATCGCCTGTGTCCATGGCACCCCCCCCACCCCAGCTGTCAGAGTTATTTTGGGCTCCTTCCCGTGCCAGCTGTCTGCTGGCATCATTGCCAGGAAGCTGGGAAAACTGTCTGGTTGAAAGTAACCAGCGTGGTGCTCTTGGCTCTTTCTGGCTCCTTTGCTTGGGCGCATGAGGGTCTCTAGTCCCAGATCAGCTGGGTTTGTCCATCTTGTGCTTTGCTGGGGGCGTGGCGGGGGAGGTTCACTCTGCTGCACCTGGCACCAGACCCCCTTCCCCCTGTTGGGGTGCTGGGAGCACTTCGTAAAAGTTGATGAGGTTCACATTCTTCTTATCCCGTGGGGCTCTTCCTTCCACTCCGGCTCCAAACTCTTAGGATTTAAATTCGGTGCTATTGAATTGCTTTCAACCCCCTTGATCCTCACGTGACTGGCTTGCTGCCTGAGGGTGTCCTCCCTCCCTTTAGATAGAGTCCTTAGGGCTTAGAGAGACAGGGGTCTTTATGTCAGAAGGGCATCGGGTGGTTAAATAATTGGTTTAAACTCCCCCCGCCCCCATTAGCCACAGCCTGAAGGGCTGGCTATAGCCAGCTCCTCCACTCCCGCCCTTGGAACAATTAAGGAGCAATTAGGTGCGAAACTGTGGTCTGGTTGTGTGAGGGCGAGGTGTCCCGGTGACCTGTAAGGGTCATGCCCCCCTCCCCACTTCCCTTTCTTTTTTACCTCTCTTCACCTTTCTTCGTCCCCCTCCCCCCACCCCAGCCCATCACCTCCTGGGGGCAGGGAGAGGCGGAGCTGCCTGTGTGTCCTCCGGCCGTGGTTCCTCCTGGCTCAGAGGCTGGCCCCGCCCCCGGTCTCCCAGCGAGCTCAGGGCGGGGCTGCTCCTGGCGCCAATCTGGTAGGGCCATCCTGGAGAGGGCCACGCCAGCGGAAGGGCGGCCCAAGGCTGGGAGGTGGCTGAACCTGCCTTGCTACTGGACACCAGCGTCCCGCCTCTTCCGGCCCATCCGCCGAGAGCCCCAGCCTGGAATACGACCTTTTGGACCCTCTGGGGGGAGACTCCCTCCGCCTGGACCGTGGCTAGAGGCACCCCGCCATCTTGGAGGCTTCCTGGGTCCAGCGCTGTCTCCAACCGGCCAGTGACCTCAGCAAGTCCCCGCCCCTATGGGAGCTGAGGTCTCCCCCTGTGAACCAGGAGGAAGAAGGTGGATGATGAGCTTTTGAGCTGTTTCCGAGTCCGGCTTTGTGAGGAGAGCTTTTTGTGTCTCAGCATGACCTCCCCAGCAGCACCACCAGGTACTGAGCCCTGGAGAGAGTCCTTGACCCCCAGGCTATACCCCTGGCCACCTTCCATCGCCAGCACCTCAAAGAATAGTTCGGTGTCTTCTGTCTCATCTAGGGTGATGACTCCTCAGGTGTGAGGTGACCTTTTAGGATGTTCTGAGGTACCAGGGAAGTAGAAGCTGGAAGAATTGTCATTACCTTCTCCATCCTGTGCTGATCAGACTTTGACAAGACAGGAATGGATCTGGCCCTCAGTTCTCTCCTGGGCTCCGCTGGCCTTAAGCTCTAGCACAGGCCAAGTGAGTTCACCCCACAGATGCATGCTGGCCTGCTCCCCTAGGCCTCGGTGTCCAACAGTTCTGTGTGAAGATCCAACGTACAGACTCTTTCTTGTTTTCCTAAACCTCTTCGGGAATTCCTGGTGACTAGAAGGTGAATGACTTGGGTCCTCAGAACCGCTCACAGGTAAGGGAGCAGGGCTCCCCGGGCTGCCCCGGCCCAGCTGCCTCTGAGGAAGCTCTCCGCAGCTGGCCTGGCTCCTGGGTATTTTTAGGTACAGATCCAGCCCCTACACCACCACTGGAGCCCGGTCCAAATCAAACACACTCCAGGCCGTGTGCGGCTGGGGTTGTGCCGGCCTCTTGGCGAGGCGGGGGTGGGGGAACGGCTGGGGCCAGTGTCAGCTGTTCTGCCTGGATGCACGCAGGGCGGGGAACCTTTGCTTTTCCTCCCTGACCTCCCATCCCCCCACCCGCTCAGTTTTGTAGAAGCCATTTGTTCTGTCTTAAGTTGGGATCAGAGTCCTGTTTCTCACGTGGAGAAAATGGCAACTTGAGGTCAGGGATTTTGAGGAAATTTCGTCAGGAGGTGTGGTTAACCCCCAGGTGACAGTTGGCTCAGAGTGGGGCAACTGAACTCTCTCCCGCCCCTCCTCCTCTTGCCCTCCAGCCCCTCCCTGAGTTTCAGGGTCCCTGATTCAGGGTCAGGTCCAGGGCTGGCTTGTGAAGGTGAGTGGTCCTCCCCTCACTCAGAGGCTTCTTCCATCCTTCCTCTCCTGCTAGCCTCAGGCTGCCACTATGGAAGTGTGACCCCAGCCCGGCCTCACCAGCCAATCACAGATCCTCTTGGGTCACCAGAGAGCTTGCGGGACTGGCTTTGGCTGGGCACTTCTTTTCAGGAGCTTTCTGTCCCATACCCTTCTTGAACCTGGCAGCAAGGCCCTCCCTGATCTAACCCCAGTTACCTTGACAACCATGTCTGGCCTCACTGCCCAGGTGCTGTGGAACCTGACGGGGTTTTCCAGCTACTGTGCCTTTGCCCAGGGTACCCGTCTTGCTCCCGCTGGTCTGCCGTCCCAACACTGCCTAGCTTGGGCTCAACCTTCCCTGAACCCTACAGAGGTTCTGGTCTCTAAATTGTTCACATCTCCCAGACTCCTTTGGACTGCTTCTCCAAGATAGCTCCTTCCAGGCAGGAACACAGTTGCCTCTCAATAAACTTGTTTTGCAAAAAAGGAATGAATGAGTTGCTGTAAATTTGTATGGGGGGTGCTTGACCCAGCAGGTGGCCCTCTGACCCAATGAGGAGCGTGGTGGGGCGGGCGCAGGACTCGCTTGACCTGGAGCTGGGCCTTGCCTCCTTTTCCCAGCTCTGGGCTCTTATTTGTAAGCTTCCACGAGCGGTCGCTGCTGCCCTCTGGTGGTCAGACCCTGCCTTGCTTCAGCGGAAAACCTACCCGGCCTTTATGGAATTGCCAAGTTGGCAGTTTCCTCCGTGAACTAAAGTTTACCTGGTATGGGGCGCCTGGGTGGCTCAGTGGGTTAAGCCTCTGCCTTCGGCTCAGGTCATGATCCCAAAGTCCTGGGATGGAGTCCCGCATCGGGCTCTCTGCTCAGCGGGGAGCCTGCTTCTTCCTCTCTTTCTACTTGTGATCTCTCTCTGTCAAATAAATAAAATCTTTAAAAAAATAAAGTTTACCTGGTCTTTGCTGAGAACTTGAAAATTGAAAATCTTCCTGGGGGGCTTTGGGGGGGTGTGTGTGGCTAGAAGATCCTGAGTCCTTCCTCTCTGAGGAAACTACCAGAGTAGACAGGGTAGGACCTGTCTCTCACTTAACCCTGCCTCAATCAATGCCCGCCAGCCGCACACTGGCTCCAGAGGTCCCCTGCCTCTCCTGACCGCCGGCCTGGCTTGTGCAACGACGGTTGTGCAACGCGACGGTTGGTCGCGGGAAGGGAAAGAATGGGGGACAGGAGTGATCTCAGCCAGCAGCCCCAGTAGTACCTGTACATTGTGCTCGATACATAGCTGTTTTGATCAGGGAAGTGGGAGGGTTGGTGACAGTCCTTGGCATGAAGATACAAGGCTGCTGGCTGGAGGGCGCTTAATCAAATTTCAGGCTGGGGTGGGTGTTACAAGGGAGCCCAGCTTACCTCAACTAGATCTGCCCTGGCTTTACCCATTCCTTCCTCGACGGTGTTTTCCTCGTTTCATGCCTCTGCCCCTGCTAGAAAGAGACTTCCGCCCGCGTGGTGTGGGGCCAACCCCCAAAGGGTATTGTTCCGGAGTCGTTCACCTGCTCTCCAAGCTGCCCGCCCCAAGGCGATTGCCCGCCAGAGGGCGCCAGACGTCCACCTTGCGCTCTTGGGGAGGTGGGGGGGTAGGTGAGTGGAACCGCTATTCCCCAACCCCAACCCCATCACTGGCGCCCGTAGGACTAGTCTAGGTGAGCAGTCACGTCCCCCATGCCAGCATCCTCCCTGGCACTAACAACCTACCTCGTGGGGGACCAGGTCAGAAGCCGACTTGCCCCAGGCCACACAGCTGAGGCGGAGCTACGACAAGGGGCTTTTCCCTGAGCCTGAGACCGAGGCTCCCGGACTCCTGGTGCTGGGGCAACGATCCGCCAATCAAAGGGTCTCTGTCCGATGTGCGTGGGGGGGGGGGGGGCGGACCGGCCAATCAGAGGGTCCCTGCCAGAAGGCGGAGCCTGCCAATCAGAGGTGACCGGCGAGGAACGGCGGAAACGATCGAATCTTGTCGGTGGGGTCGCGCCTTGACATGAAGGGAAGGGAGTGGGAGCCGCGCTTCAGGCTGAGTGCCCCCGTTTCTCAGTTGCCTCACTTTCCCTGGGAATGAAAAGTGAACGCCCCGGTCCGGGGCCGAACAGAAAGGAAAACTGAGGCTGGGAGGTGGGCCCGGGTGGCTGCCTGGCGGAGGCGATGCCGGCACATAGTGGGCGGGGTTTACCTCGCCCCGCCCCCTGGATCCCGCCCCCGCTCCCGATCATTCAGCCCCAGAAGTCCGCCCCGCGCGCGGTTGCCGGTGCCGGCTGCTCCCGGCTATGGATGCCCCCGGGGCCCCGGGCCCCAATGCGGGCCCGGGCAAGAAGGAGCTGAAGATCGTAATCGTGGGTGACGGCGGCTGCGGCAAGACATCACTGCTTATGGTGTACAGCCAGGGCTCCTTCCCTGAGGTGAGGCCCGCCGAGGAGTTGGTGGGGGTGAGACTGCGGGGCAAACGGGCTTGGGACCACGGGGGGCGACGGACGGCCTTCAGCCTGCGCCTTGAGCCTGGACCCCGGCTCCCCGGCGTCCTGTGCGTAGAGAGGCAGCCGCCACCCCGGGGCGCCCCCTCGGGAATTCCAGAGCCCAGAAGGGTGAAGGGAGCTGAGCTGGATGGGGTGAAGGGGGGCGGCGCAGCTGAGCCCTGGGCCCCCCGTCGCACCCCTTAAGAACCGGCCGACCCCTTCTCCGACAGGACTACGCCCCATCCGTGTTCGAGAAGTACACGGCCAGCGTGACTGTGGGCAGCAAGGAGGTGACCCTGAACCTATACGATACCGCCGGTGAGTGCGTCTGCGCACCGAGGGTCCCCGGTGCCCGAAGGGTTTCCCCCGCCGGGGCGTCCCCCTCCCGGCATCCCCGCCCACCAGCCGCTGTGGGGCCCTGACCTCCCAGCACTCCTGAGGGCCGCGAGGGGCTCTGGCAGGGTGGCCCTGGAGGCTCAGAGGGCCTCAGTCACCCCATGTTTGAAAGGCGGGGACTTGAATGAGAGGAACTCCTGGGCCACCCTGCTAGCGCTAATGTGCTGAGAACCCACGGCTTCATTCCTCTCCTGTGGTTCTAGAAAACCGTGGGCATCGCTTCTGCTTCCCATGGTTCCAGGCTTTCGTGTTTTGCATGCTGTGGTCTCTTAAGATTCTGTGGGCTGCGGATTTTAGTCCCCTGGTTCTAGGATCCTGTGGGCTGACTTTCTGGGTCCTGTGGTTCTAGAATAGTCTGGGCTACAGATCAGAGCCTGTGACTCCAGGATTTTGTGGTTGAGGCTCCGGGGTCCTGTGGACATAAATTCTGGGTTCCACACTAATTCTGAGTTCCACACTCCTGGGATTCCATCTGCTACAATACACGGTTCTGGAATTCTGTGGTCCTTTTGAGCCTGTAGTTCTAGGATTCTGGCTACAATTCTGTGTCTTCCTGGTTCCCTGGGAATAAACCAAACACCGAGGAAGGAGCAGAAATAAACCAAACACAGAGGAAGCAGCAGAGCTCCCAAGTCCAGAATAAGATTCTCTTGGCCTCCTGTGGCTCCTAACTCAAGTGGATTTATGCTAATCCTGTCAGTTATCAGAGACCCTGTTTGGGGAGGGGGGGACCCGGTGGGGTGGGGGGGACCCGGTGGGGTGGGGGGGACGGGGAGTGTTGGGTGTCTGCCCTCAAGGAGCTTCCATCCTGCCCTCAATCACCTCCTGGGCTGAACCACCACTGGGGAACAAAGGTCAGGATCTCACCCCACCTCTCTGTCTCAATGTTTAGTGACCTGCATGGAACCACGTCATCGGGTGCCCTGTCCCCTGCCAGCCAAGCCTTGTATATGCTAGGGGAAGTCTCCACTAGCCTTGGATGGAGCCAAAATCCAGACATCCCCTAACCGTAGGCAGCCAGTGGCATCTCCATTCCACCGTGCAGAGAATCAGAAAAGGGATTTGGCCCATCCCCAGGCCCCTCCTCCATTCCTGATTTCAGCAGCCTTTACTGTATGGTGGGCTCTGCCCTGTAGTGGCTTCTAAGGACCCCCTCTTGTTGAGGGCCCCGAAAGTCTGCCCCCCCCCCCACAACAGGGCCCTGCTTCCAGCCCTGAGAACTGAGAAAGGCAAAGGTTGCTGAGAAACTCCCCTGGGAGCATGGTCGTGAGAGCCGTAAAACTTACGGTGTGTCTGGGATACTTTCAGTTTCACATACTTTCTGTCGGGGACCCAGGGAGGGGCAGGCCCATGAGCCCCACTTTGTGGGTGAGGTGCCAGTTTTCGCTCTCCTCTGCCCTCCAGGACCTCAGGGCCTCTCCTATCAGATCCCTGGGGTTCACTGTTCATGGAAGCCTCCCCCATCAGACCCAGCACAGGGACCACTTCTGGTCTTTGTGGCCGCACCCAGAGAAAGATGCTCAAAGAACATGTTAGGGCCGATTGTGGTGTGGAGGTTCCAGAAGTTTTCTGTTTGGTGTAAAGGACGGACTTGCACTCACAGCTGCTGCAGGAGAGACTGGAGGGGCTCCAGGTCCGGTCATCAGAGGCACGTGGCCACCACAGCAATGGTGCTCTTCCTGCCACATGCTTTGGAGTCAGACCTAGGCTTTGATGCTGGCTCCCTGGCTATGTGTCATCTGGGCCTCAGTTTCCTCATCTGTAATCGGGGCTAACTAGATTAGTCTTGAGATTTAAATTAGATCCATGTGATGCATAACACGGGGGTCGGTTCTTGGGAAGAGCTAATTGTTGTCATGATTTTTTAAGCCTCCTCCACCCCCACCCGGCCATTCAGGCTCAGACCCAAGTCCAACCTGTTGGGATTCGAAGGCCTGAAGAGCTCCAGGCTGGCCTCCACCCTGCCCTCCCCGAAGGACCTTTGCAAGCAGCAGAGAAACAGAGCTGGGGGTTGAACGACTCAGTGGAGTCCTAGGGAAGTCGATTGGCTTCATGGTCAGCAGGAGAGCCCAGGGATGAATGAATATTCAAGGAGAGAGAAATATGGCCACTCCTTCTGGGGTGTCCTGCTGTGACCCAGGAAGCCCTGTCACAAGGAGCATGAAGGAGAGACTGGGTCATTCCTTTTCCATGTGCCAGTGCCCAGCACGGTGACTGCGGAATGAATGCAAAAGAGATTGGAGGCAGAGGCTCTCCTGGAGAATGTTCCATGTGATAAAGGCAGTGAGATTGTCTCTACCCGTGGATGAACAGATCAAAAATCAGTGGCAGGAAAGGAGGCCCAGTGGACCAAGTAGAGGGAGAGAGTAAGGGGGGGAGGGGAGTGGCTGAGCCAGAGATAAGGCTGGTAAAGGTTGTAGACGGTTCTGGAACCTACTGAGCTAGACCCCGTGGTGGGGGATGGTGGTGCAGAGTGCCATTTTTCCAACTGACCACCGGTGACCAGAGCTATGGAACAGGGTTGGCCCCTAGGAGGCTGAATTTCTCCATACCCAGGACCTGGGCCGTAGGGGTCTGCGTGGGAGGCCAGTCTGGCTGCTCGTCTCCATCCTGCGGAAGCAGACACAGATGCCACAGCAGTGGGAGGGAGATTGGAGGGGCGACGGAGCTCTCAGTGCTGACAGGGGAGGGGAGGCAGACACAGTGAGCTCTCTTGCCCTAGCAGCCTCACCTGGTGTGGGCCTGACACCCTCAGAGGCAGGAAGCTGTGGTGCGGTTTGAGGTTTGCTGGGCAAAGGGGAGGCCGGGGCAAGGTGGGATGTTAAGACACCAGCTAGGGGTGAAGCTGTCTGGGTCTTGGGGTGGGGCCCAGGGGCGGGGAGTCCAGGATGGGATGAGGGTTGCCTGGGGAGGCGGGGTCCTGTGGTCCCCTTCCCAGCCTGAGATGGGAACAATGGGAACAGTGAGGTTGGGGGACGGACAGAGGAGTTGCTGAGTCAGGGAATCAGGGACCAGGGGGCTAAGAGCTAGAAGGCCTGGGGTCTTGAAGAGCTGAAGCCTCCGGTCAGAGTGGCCTCCTAGGCTCCAGGCTGGGCCTGCGCAGCCACTCCTTCCTCTGGGGAGGAAACGCAGGTGGGTGGGGAAGTGGGTTCCTCTTCTGGCAGCTTCCCCTTCTCACACTGCCTGCGCCCCTCCCCTGACCAACGCCCTGGCTGGAGCTGGTAACCACCACTCTCTGTGTGTCCAGCAGATATGGGGATCACTGTGGCCCAGGGACACCCTCTTCTCAGCTTAGCTCCGGGCCTTAGAGACCCCCTGCCTCTGGAAAGTGACTGACACAACAGAGCTCCTTCCCACAAAGGAAATACCCTTGTACGATGTGAGAGCCTCACTTGCTCCCTGCCCCACAGCCCCACCAGCTTCAGGAAGATGGGCCACTTGCAAGGGGAGCTGTGGCCCAGAAGACCTTTCCTGGCTACAAACAAATGCATCCCTTTGCACGTAACTCCGTGCAGGCCCATCTGCAGAGGCCAGAGTGGGACCCCAGTGTGCTGCTGGACAGGGGACTTGGCCCCTTTAAATCTTGGCATTAGTGTGCATAAACGGGGAGGGCAAGAGTATCACCTTGTGGCTGGGGGCCCCCTAAAGCTTGTGGGTCCAAAGATCTGGGGTTAGATCCCCGCCCAGGCCCCCATCCCCTGGAAGTTTCTGTTTTAACTGTAACCATAGTAACAGTCCTTCACCTTTGTTCAGCTTTGCTTAGCCTACTAGTCCTTTATGTCCGGTATGGGGGGGGTGCAGGCTAATCATCCCCTCTGCCGGATAACCGAGCTCCAGAGAGGGAAGGCACCCAGGTCATAGAACATGAGCCTGCGTGTAGCTTGGTTCTCCTGACTCCTATGGGAGAGGCGTCTAGGGGGACACGAGGTCAACATGTCCATCTTTTGCAGGCCTGGTCCCCATGTGGAGGTCCACACTGAATCTTGCAAAAAGTTGAGCCAGGCCCAGTCAAGTCAGGAAGGCAGCCTGGAGGAGGGAGCTAGGATCCAAGCTGGCTGCCCATCCCCTCCCAGGGCCGTTCCCCCCTTTCTCTCTCTCTCTCTCAATTCCTGTGTTGGGAGACTTTTGATCAGGCCTGGGGCTGGTAGGGTGAGGACAGCTCCCTAGCCTCTGGAGTGGGCTGAGAGAGAGGGATCCCCCCCCCCAGTAGTCTTACGGAGCTTCTCCTTAGCTGTGCAACCTTAAGGCGACTCACTTCACCTCTCTGTGCATCAGTTTCTGCATCTGTAAAATGCGGCGGCAATCGCCCTACCTTGTTAGCGTCATAATGAGGCATGACGGCTTAGTGTAGGCGCTGGGCTTCAAGCGAAGCTGTGAGCAAGCATAAGAGCCTTCATGACAAGGGAGCATTTCGATGTATGTGGTTGATTGTCACCCCTTTTAGTATTGTTATCAAACTCACCTGCTTCTCAAGTACCCATTTCACAGGTGAGGAAACCATTCGTACGGAAATGAGGTTGATTCCCAATTGGGAAGACCGGAGAAGCCTTCCTGAGAGAGTCTGTGGCAGTTTTAGAGTGGCCCTGGAGTGACCCTGGAGTTGACCGAGTTGGCGCTCCAGCTCACAGGGAACCTGTCTATGACCTTGGAAAAGGTCCCTCTCGGCCTCATGGGCTCCTTACAGGAAGAACTTTCTCAGCTTGGCTTAGCTCCCCAGGGCGGCTGCTTAAGTGGACACAGGTGACAGAAGTGAAATGCCCTTGCGGGAAACCCGAGAGGTTAGCGTGACACCTTAACCCACACTTAATTTGTTCGTTCCTTCACCACTTGCCTGGTGCCGTAACTGTCCTCAGGGGCTTCTGTGTTCATGGGGCAGACAGAGCCAAACCAAAACCCAACATATGGAAGAATAACAGAGCCATGGTGGGGGGTGGGGCAGCAGTCAAGGGAGCTCTCCTGGAGGAGGTGATGTTTCTGCAGACCTGAAGGAAAGGAGGGAGCAAGGCATGCTACCTGGCCAAGAACCTTTTGAAGAGGAATGGGCGAGAGTAGAGGCTCCCGGGGCAGGGGGCAGGCTCAGTCTGACTTCCTCCTCCCAGCCCCTGCAGCCCGACTTCTGCTGAAATCCTCCCCAGCCCGAGTTACTAAACCCCTGGGCCGTCGCAGCCCTGCTCTCTACTGCATCAGACGGGGGAGTGGAAAGGCTTCAGGCAATGAGCAGCCAGGCCTGACTGGACACCTGCCAGGTGCTGGTGATGATTTTTAAGGACAGACAAGGTCCCTGCACTCAGGGCGCTTACAGGCCCTGGGGAGGCAGGCCCAGGCTGTGGACACCCAGGGCGGGGGGGGCAGATGCTGTGTGGTGAGGGAAGGCCTTGGTCAGGAGGAGCAAAGCCGACAGAGCCCAGGAGGCCCATTTTGCAGCTATTTGTCCACTCCCGCCAGATTTCTAACAGGATCAGATATGCACTTTGTGCCAGAAGTAGGACCTGCATCGTGACATCGTAGGGGCCCAGAAGCTATGTTTGCACAATGCAGAACCAACTAGAGCACTGCTGGCTGTCAGCAGGACAGCTCCACCGGGACCCAGACAGACTGGGGCTAAGCCCTGGCTGGGTCACTGGTGCAGTGACCTCAGGGAGATCACTTCTCTGAAGTTCAGTTTCTGTGGAAATGGAAATATTCTTCACTTCCTGTCTAGCCCATCAGGTGATGGCTGTAAGGATTTCTTAACTGTTCATAGGCAGAAGCACTCTAAAAAGTGTGTAAAGCATAAAGTGGTGTTACTGTGGAGGAGAAGTAGAGAGAAGACAATTATCTTGAAAAAGGAAATAATGTGGACATTCAGTTTGAATGTCTTAAAGTAAAAAGCTAAGAAGAAAAGGGGGGTGGTAAGTAGGGAAAGCATTCCAGGTTGGGGGAGGGGAACAAGTACAAAGGCCCTGAGGCACAAGAGCTTGGTGGGTTTGAGAAACAGTGAGCAGGGGGTTGGGGGCTGGGATGGGGGGGGGAGAAAAGGTCAGGGTCTGTGGGTGCCCGGTCATGAAGACCCTTGGGAGATGTTTGGATTTTATACAAAGGACAATAGGAGCCACTGAAGGTATTCTTCATTTGAGGGGAGGGAGGCAGGATCTTGTCTTAAATTCAACCAACTGCCGGGTGGGGAATGGATTGTTGAGGGGCAGCATGGATCACAGGAGGCCAGCGGTGGCTTGCACGGGGATGGAGCCATGCTGTCCACTAGAACTTTCTATGGTGATGGGATGTCGGGTATCCACACTGCCTGTTACGGGAGCCACTAGCCCTGTGTTGCAATTAATCACTTGAAATGTAGCTAGTGCAATGGAGAACCTGAATTTTTAATGTTAATTAGTTTAAACAGCCACATGGGGCTAGCAGCTACCCTACCAGACAGCACAGGTCTAGAAAGACATGGACCAAGATTAGGAGAGGGGACAGTTCGGAGGACGTGGGCAAACCTACAGGACACCCCCACTGAGATGTGAATGTGGCCCGTGGGCTGGGTTAGAGCACAGAGTCTGTGGCGGTTGCCCCAGCTGGCTGCCTTTCTCTGCGAGATGATGGAACGCGAGTTCTTAGAAATCTGCAGCACTGTCCTGGGGCAAAGCCACAGAACACACACAATTACGCTTGCCTGTTCAAGTGTTTACATATAAGAGGACAAGTGGGGCAAAATATAAACACTCAGGAATCTGAGGAAGGGAGGTTTTTTTTTTTATGATTTTATTTATTTATTTGACAGAGATCACAAGTAGGCAGAGAGGCAGGCAGAGAGAGTGGGGGAAGCAGGCTCCCTGCCGAGCAGAGAGCCCGATGCGGGGCTCAATCCCAGGACCCTGAGACCATGACCTGAGCGGAAGGAAGGCAGAGGCTTAACCCACTGAGCCACCCAGGCGCCCCAGGAAGGGAGTTCTTGGCACCCTTTTTGCAACTTTTCTCTAAGTTTGAAATTGTCAACGTAAAAAAATTACTAAAAAGCATTAAAAAACCACACCCAGCCTTGGCGGCTGATTCAGTGGGTTAGGGGAGGGGCCGGGCACCAGCCGTCCCCCCACCACTCTCCTCCTGGGGTCCACAGAAGGGCAGGAGGAATTCAACCCAAGGCCAGGCCTCTGGGCCTAGGGGTCCCCTCCCGGATCCTGCAGTGGCCTGGTCGTGCCCCAGCCCCAAACCTTCTTCCGGGAGGGGAGCTGATCTGGCCTGAGTCTGTTCTCTTCAACCTGAGCGCCAGGGCAAGCTGGGGGGTTGGAGAGGGGGTGGCAGTAATTGCCAAGGACATAATTGCTAGCAGTTTCTCCAGCTTCTCCTGATTACCCTGTAATCAGACCTGGTTCTGAGCCCTGCCTGGGTTTTATCTCCTCTTATCTTTGCTACTGTGGGCTGCCCCCTCTGTTTTACAGAGGAGCAAACCCAGGCCTTAGAGACAGAGCCCAGACTCAGGTGGACAAGGAGGGGCTGCCTTCCTGACCCCTACCTCCTCTCCCATTCCAGGGCAGGAAGATTATGACCGGCTTCGGCCCCTGTCCTATCAGAATACCCACCTCGTGCTCATCTGCTATGACGTCATGAACCCCACCAGCTATGACAATGTCCTCATCAAGGTGAGGCCCGTGACCCAGCCAGCCTGTCTCGGGGGTGGGGCCCCCGAATCTGGCCTTAGCCCTGAGGCCTGCCCTCTCCCTCCACAGTGGTTCCCTGAGGTGACACATTTCTGCCGTGGGACCCCCATGGTGCTCATTGGCTGCAAGACAGACCTGCGGAAAGACAAGGAGCAGCTTCGGAAGCTCCGGGCGGCCCAGCTGGAGCCCATCACCTACATGCAGGTCAGGAAGGGGTCCCCCACCCCCACCTCATTTAATCCTTACAACCCCAGGGCACGGGGCACGGGCTGTTCCCATCCCCTGTCACACAGGGGAGAAACGGAGACCCAGAGAGGCAAGGTAGAGGTTGAGAGGGACACGACTGACCCGCAGCGGAGCCAGGATCCTGTCCCACCTGCCGCAGGGCACTAGAGAGGCAGGCTTTGCTCGAGAGCAGGGCTCCCCTAGCCATGAGGGTCGTGGGTAAAACCAAACCCTGCGGCTTTTCTGGGTGAGGCGTGGGACAAGAAAAGGAACACAGAGGAAAACTAGTAAGAAAGTTTAATAAAAAGGAATAAGCATTAATAAAAGTAAATTTTGGAAGAAGAGCTAGTTTTTACTGTCCTTGCCAGCTCCGTTGCCTGGCTGGAGCTTGTGGGAAGGGACAAGGGGGAGGAATCGAGGAAGCCCTTTGTGTCTGGAGGCCTCTAGCTCTTGTCACAGGCCTGGCACACACAGCAGCCCGGCGTCGGGACGCAGCCCCCTCTCCGCCTGAGGTGGTGGTGGGGATGTGGGGGCCAGTGGGGAGGGCAGGGTAGAGGCCAGGATGGGGCTTCTCAGCTGCAGCCCTTGGGCCACACCACAGGCCCTTCCGTTCCATCCACAAACACTGCTGAGGACTGGGCCTGGGATGGGGGAAGGGCCTAGACCTTTGCCCCGCCTTGGAGAGTCCCCAAAGCCGGCTCTAAGTCCCCAGATCCGTGGGGGCTGTCAGGAGGTGCCCCATGCTCCAGGCTCATCTAATGCCAGCCCCTCCCCCCACCCAGGGCCAAAGTGCCTGCGAACAGATCCGAGCCGCCCTCTACCTGGAATGTTCTGCCAAGTTTCGGGAGAATGTGGAAGATGTCTTCCGAGCGGCGGCCAAGGTTGCCCTCAATGCGCTGAAGAAAGCACAGCGGCAGAAACGCCCGTTGTGCCTGCTGCTCTGACCCCTCTGGACAGGGCACACAGGCCCTCATGGCAAGACTGACAGGGCCTAGGCTGCTAGGCCCGGACTGTACCCCAAGATCCTGCTCTGTCCCCAGCTTTCCAATGGCACTTTGAGTTAGGGGTCTCTGTGTGTCTGGAGCCTGTGGCTAGACTTTTAGAACATTCTGGAGATCTCTCCTTTCCCAGCTGGGGCTCTGGCCATGAACTCACCTCAGGCCAGGGTTCCCATGCCTGCAAGGAGGTGGGTGAGGGTCCCAGACTCAGTCCCTCTGTACCCTAGAACCAGCATTTGTCCCTAGGATGCGGGAGTACACAGCCTCCCCCCAGCCATGTGTGTCCCCCTTTGCACACCCGATAGGTCCTGAAAACCTATGCTTGAAACAAACAGCCGCATCTGGTACGTGGATAAATGTGGATTTGTCAGCGCTCCACACAGCCCCCCACCAAGCCCGCCGCTCCTGCGTCACCCGCCTCCCTGGGCTCCTGAGATAGGCACGGCTACATCCTCCAGCTTCTGGCTTCCTTCCTCCAGGAACGTGGGGGCCACAGTGGGATGGGGACTTATCGGGACAGCACACGCACCAGCCCCGGACATGGGGGCTGGCACCGGCCCCTACCCCTCACCACCCCCGCAAGACTTCAGTCTCAACCTTCGGCTAGGCTGCCATCTTCCCAGAGCTGGGTGCACATGCCCAAGGGGGAGAAGAGACTTTCTCAAGAGGCAAAAGGTACCCTGGCCCACCCACCCAAGCCCTGCTCCAGGGCGCCTCACCTGCAACCCCCCCACTGCCGGAAACTCAAGACGAAGAGTGACATCAGTTGTGAGTGATCATGGGCAAGTCACTTCTCTCTGCAGACTGTTTCCCTATCTGCAAAAGGACAGCACTGACTCATTTTAATAGTCATCGCGCTCCCTCCTATCCCTCACAGCCTCCACTGTTGCCAAGCTCAGACTATCCTGGCCTCCTGCGAGAACAAGCAACCCCCGGCTAAGGATTCACTGAACTTTCTGGAAGGTCTGGGGCCAGGAGTTTTTAAACAAGTGCTCCAGGTGATTCTAATGCCCTGGAGAAGGAGAGCTGCTTACTTCCTGGGTGAGCTACAAGTCCAGTAACAGTTCAGGTGTTACTGAACCTGGGATGATGGCTTGAGGGGGCTCCTGCCCTCCCAGGGATCTCCTGCCTCAGCCCCCACTAAGCCTGAGCCTCTGAAGTCAGTTGCTGGAGAGAGAAAGAGACTCCTGTATCCCATCCCATCCCACCGCACCCCACACTGGTTCCCCAAGGCCTCATGGACAAGTGATGGTATAGGGTGGCGGTTAGCAAACCATACTCCGTGGACCCAATCTGGCAGCTGTGTGTTTTTGTAAATAAAGTTTTGTTGGGATTCAGCCACACCCATTTATTTAGGTATTGGAGGCTTTGGCCCTACAGCTACTGCTGAGGGAAATGGGGACTGGTTATCTGGCCCTTTACAGAAGACGCTTGCCGACTCCTAGTCTCAGGAAAACCCAGGTGCCTCAGGGCCAGACGGAAGACCCAAAGGAGTGAGAGAGGGCAGGTATGAAAGGGAGTGGTGGGTGTGTGGCACCAGAAAGCAAGCACCCCATCCTAAGCAGGAAGCTAGCTGGGCCTGAGCTGGGCTGGCCCAGAGCTTTCCATTTTTCTAAGGAAAGTAGAAATCTGGGTTTTTTATGCAGACTCTTACTGGGGTGGAAGGGAAATTTCTTAAAAATGTAACAGTTCAAAAAGCACAAACTCCTCTGGGGGCCCAAGCAGGACGGAGGATGCCGGCTGTGAACTCCGCTCAGAGGACCCGTAGGGAGGTAGTTAAGGGGAGCTGAGACCCGTGTGTGGGAGAGAGGGCTGCAGCTCGTGGGGGAGCGGGGGCAGAACATTCCCCCAAGCCTGCCGGCTTCTTCACCCTCGCCTCAAATACAGAATCGGACACAAGGTGCCCAGCGGGCTTGTCCTGGCCTCCCAAGTGCCACCTGGAAGGGAGCCTGCTCAGACTCTCTCCACCGCATTCCAGAACCTGAGGGGAAGGTGGGGAGGGTGGGTGAACTTCACGATGGCCTGAGTCTCAACCAACGCCGAAGTGCGGGTTCCGCTCTGAGAACTCGCTGCAAGGATTCCGGGAAGTGGGCTGAGGGGTGGAGGTCAGGAAGCCAAACTCAAGTGTCAAAAAAAAAAAAAAAAAAAAGAAAAAGAAAAAAAGCCCTCCAACCGCCCACGGGATGCCGAGGCTGGGGCGCCCTCTGGTGGTCACAGCGAACCCTCCCGCCTCCGGCCCACGCGGGTGGGGGCGTGGGGCCAAGCCCTGGGGGAGGGAGGGCAGCTGTCCCCGGGGGGCCGGCAGCCTGGGAACCGCAAAGAGCACAAGGCACAGACAGACAGTGGTTCTCTGAGAACTTAAATACCCCCACCGCAGAGCAGGGGCGGCCAGGAGGGCTTACAGCAGAAGCGGTGGGCCCCGGGGCGGGAGGTTCCACAGGACGCCCCGGGCTTTCCTTCCACTCACTGGGGATCAGTAAGGAGCCGGTCGGCACCCCAGCGAGGCACATCCAGACCCCAACCTGAGGGGCTCCCTGAGGCTTCCGGCCACCCCACCCCAGGAAGCCTGACCGAGGCTCAACCGTAGCCAAGAGGGCAGCGAGGGAAGACTGCGGGTTCTGGGGCAGTCGGGAGGAGGCCGTCGTGAATATGTCATAAATAGGGAGGCTGGGGCAGGCGAACATTGTAGGGACAGGCAGGGCTCACGTTCCTCTTGTCCGCCAGGGACTGGGACCTTGGCCCTCTTCCCCGCCATGAGCTGGCCCCCGGGCTGGCTGCTGTCCACAGACACCGTGAGGAGAACTGGGCAGCAAGGGGGCTGGCTGGAACCCCCTGCAGTCTTGAACCCCCAGTGGGGGTGGGGCTGGAGGGGCGCACAGGTCCCTTGGCTCACAGCTTCTTCCCCTTGTTTCTGTTCTTCTGAAGTTTCGCGTGCACGACTTTGAGTGTGGTCAGGAAATTGCCCAGGAAGAGGACGAGGAACGTGAGCGCCAACACGAACACCTGGGCAGGGGCATGCAGGGTGACAGGGGAAGGGGTGGCAGCGGGAGGAGAGGAAAGGAAGAAAAGGTTGAGTCAGCTCTGGTCAGCTCGCTGCTGAGACGCCCCTCTGGCCAATCCCCCCAGCCCCCCGCCCCGTAACCTTGCAACCCGCTTAGCACAAGCCACTGGCAAAGTGCAGAGCTCCCACAGCGGAAAGCAGAGATCTGGGCTAACTGTGGGAAGGTGTCTCCTCTGGCACCCCCACAGCATTCAGTAGGGTTCTCAGACACTTGGGGGTCCCTGGCTTCCCGAATTCCCTCCCACAGTCTCCCAGGCCCCAGTGGCAGGGAGCTCTGGACACAGGGCCAGGGAGCGAAGGGGTGGCTGAGGAATTCTCTCCAAGCTAGCCCGAGCTTCCCCAGGACCCCCCCACCCTCACCCCACAGCCACAGGCACATGCACACGCCTCTGCGTGCGCGCGCGCACACACACACACACACACACACACACACACACCCCGACCCCATACCTGCCATTCTCTGCATTCCTCGTGGCTGGAGAGCTCAAACAACGTGACGGCATTGTAGAGCTGCCAGAACTGGAAAGAGGGGAGGCAGGCAACACTTATCCCCGACGGATTCCCCCAGACACCCATGTGGGGAAGCCCTGGGAGTGGACCAGTTCTCCCAGCTTCTGGTATCAACTGTCCTATGACAGAGAGCCCCCCCAAAATGAAACTGGAGCACCTCGGCCAGAGCAGCCTAAAAATCTGGGGCTCAGCATGCTGGTGCTGAGAGCCACTTCTGGCTCCTGCTTGCGGCCCAGGACCCGGGGGATATCTCTGCCCCAGGACTCTGTGGGGCCAGCTCAGGGATTGCTGGTGAATGCGGGAGACACCTGAGGACCTTTTGTTCCCAGGGGTCAGCCCAGAACAGGGGATACCCACAAATTCCGGGGGACTCACATGGCCACAGAACAGGAAAGGCAGGAGGAAGGTGAGGCCCCGCCACATCCAAGACTGGAATCCTTCTGTGGAGACGAAGGAGGAAGTGAAGGGCCGGTGTGAGGGGGTTCATTTGCCCCCACAGCCCCACCAAGCGCCTACTGCCTAGCCATGCCAGTCCCCCGAGATTAGCCACATGGGGCGGGGAGGCAGCCCTCACCTATCATCAGTGTGTGAGCACTCAAGTATGCAAATCACCCAGAGACCCTGCACAACACCCGTCACGGGGCCTGACTGCTCTCACGCCTCAAGTCATCACGAACTCATAGGGCTTGACAATACTTACAGAAAGCTGACGGGCCAGGCACTGGTTTTTGATAATGTCTATGATCTGCACAGGGTTTTGCATTTTATAATGGACTTCTGCACGTATCATTTCAAGTGAGTCTTGACAAAGTCAGGCCTACTCTGCAGAGTAGTTCGGTAGAAATGACCATCTCAAAAGATTTGAGAATTTTATTAGTTTCCTGTGAAAGTTAAGACTTCTCCAAGTTAAGAGTTAAGAAACTCTTTTTTTTTTTTTAAAGATTTTATTTATTTATTTGTCAGAGAGAGAGGAGCGAGAGCGAGCACAGGCAGACAGAGTAGCAGGCAGAGGCAGAGGGAGAAGCAGGCTCCCTGCCAAGCAAGGAGCCCGATGTGGGACTCGATTCCAGGACGGTAGGATCATGACCTGAGCTGAAGGCCCCTGCTCAACCAACTGAGCCACCCAGGCGTCCCAAGAGTTAAGAAACTCTTAAGAAAGTTAAGAGTTCTCCAAGCTCTTCTGACTGGGCACTTGACCCGTGAGTTAAAGAAGTTGAGCACAGGGGTGCTGGGGTGGCTCAGTAGATTAAGTGACTGACTCTTGATTTCAGCTCAGGTCATGACCTTAAGGTCCTGAGATCAAGCCCCATGTCAGGCTCCAAGCTGGGCATACAGCCTGCTTAAGATTTTCTCTCTCTCCCTCTGACCCTCCCCATTGCGTTCTCTTGCTCTCTTTCTCTTAAAAAAAAAAAAAAAAATATATATATATATATATATATATATATACACACACACACACACATATATTTACATATATATGTATATTATATATAAAAGTTAAGCACATATTCCCAATGTATCTCTCTACATATTTATATGTAGCCATATTATTTTTTTTAATTATTTTTTTTTTATTCATTGGACAGACAGAGATCACAAGTAGGCAGAGAAGCAGGCAGAGAGAGAGGGGGAAGAAGGGTCCCCGCTGAGCAGAGAGCCCAATGCAGGGAGCCCGATGTGGGGCTCGATCCCAGGACCCTGAGATCATGACCTGAGCTGAAGGCGGAGGCTTAGCCCACTGAGCCACCCAGGTGCCCCGATACATAGCCATATTATTTTTTAAGTAGGCTCCATGCCCAGCAGAGAGCCCAACTCATGACCCTGAGATCAAGACCTGAGCTGAGATCAAGAATCAGATGCTTAACAGACTGAGCCACCCGTGCCCATATATGTAGGCATATTACACAAATTATACGTGCACAACATAATGCATATATAATTACACGTATTACAAAGCACAGAACAAAAAATAGGCCTTTAAAAAGGATAAGACATGGGGTGCCTGGGTGGCTCAGTTGGTTAGGCAACTGCCTTTGGATCAGGTCATGATCCCAGGGTCCTGGGATAGAACCCCGTCCTGTGTCAGGCTCCTTACTTAGCAGGGAGCCTGCTTCTCCCTCTCCCTCTGCCTGCTGCTCGGCCTGCTTGTGCTCTCTCTCTCTGCCAAATAAATAAATAAAAATTTTTTAAATAAATAAATAAATAAATAAATAAATAGGATAAGGCAGAAGTCAGCATGGAGGCCTGGCACACAGCTGGCCAGAAGCTTGTTGGCTGAAACAGAATCCACAATGAATTATGAAAAGCAACTCAGGTAGAGGCCGGCAGCCCAGGCTTTGTGTGGTAGGTGCTGTTATGTTCTTACTGGCTCATGCTCCCAGGGCGGTGAGTAGCAGTGAGGTCCTGGGGAGCAGGGAGGGGCCGGTAGTTGTCCCCACCCTCCATCCCCTCCCCAGGCTGGGGGCTACTCACCCACTGTGAGGTCCAGATGATTCCTCTCCCCCAGGGCACGCAGCCTGTAGAGGCAGCCTCTCTGGTAATAATATTGCAGGAACTGGACACAGCCTATAGGGGGAGCACAGCGCCCGGCTCAGGGCCCAGAGGACTGGATGCCACCACAGCATACACACATGCACACCCAAGGGTCTTCACAGCCCAGAGGGCGCCTTCTCTCACCCCAACACACACGCACGCGTGCACACACACACACACACACACTTACTTCAGCCTGAACCTACTTTATCCCTTCTCCAGAATACAACGAGAGCAGGTTATCTGAAGACCCAACTAAGTGCCCATGAGATTAGAAACTTCTAGAGCAGATGCTTGCTGGAATGGTGGCACCATGCCAGGAGCTGTGTGTAATGCCAAGATGGCAAAAGACATTTTCATACAATGGGATACTTAGTCATTACCAAAAATGAGGTAGAATTCTGTGTCCTGACATAGAAAAATACCCTTTATTATTGTTAAAAAAAAAAATAAACAGGTTATAAGCAAAGCTCTGTGTACAAAGGGACCCCATATTTATAGACAACATAATGCAGTACATATGCATATATAAATCAAACTGAAAGGACATAGATCAGACGAGATCGGGCGCGTTCAGGGTGGTATGGCCGTAGACGACATAGATCAATTAACAAGTGATCACTCCTAAGGGTGAGATTATACACAATTTTCATTCTTGCCTTTACAGATTTGAATTTGTTGGCAGGGTTTTATTTAAAAATTAATTGTATTTTTTGAGTCAGTAATATGTACACAATAAAATTCAAAGGGAACAAACAAGTACTTGGTAAAAAACAAAACTCTCTTTCTGTCCCTATCCCCCACTATCCAGCTCCCCCTTCTCAGAGGGGACCCTTAGGACCGGTTTACTGTATACAAAATCCAGAGCTAATCTTTTTTTTTTTTTTTAAGATTTTATTTTTAAGCAACCTCTATACCCAATGTGAGGCTTGAACTTACACCCCTAAGATCAAGAGACATTTACTCTACTGACTAAGTCAGCCAGGAGCCCCAATCTAGAGCTATTCTTAAATGAGAAAAAGAACATATACTTTATTTCCATTTTGAGGTAGTGTCCCCAACACCACTCAGATCCCGAAAGTCACCATTGGTCCCCAGCTGTGACACAGGGAAGAAAAGGCAGCAGTGGGGGTTCCTGAAGGTGGGGATAACCAGGCTGTCCCTCCCCCAGGACTGGGTGGTGATCTGGGGGCAGAGAGCTCTTTGCTGGATTTCTGGGACTGTCCCCTGCCCCAAGCTCCCTTCAACACTAGACACACCTCTCACAAGGGAAGAGGGATGACAGGGGCCTCCATGAGAGAAAGACCTGGAAACTGGAAACCGTACCCCCTCCCCTGAATCCAGGCAAGAGGCACTCACTCTGAAAAATGGAAAACGCTAAAAACTGATTACGAAACTTCTGATAAATCAGTCCGTTGGGCCTGCAGAGAAGTGGGGAAAAGCAAAGGTGAGGTGTGCTGTGAAATCAGACATTCATCCCTGCCCCTCTCCGTTCCAGCCAAGAGAGAAGAAAAGCTTTTAATTAAAAAAAAAAAAATTATTTAAGTAATCTCTACATCTAATGTGGGGTTTGAACTCATGACCCAAAGATCAAGAGTCACATGGTCCAACAACTGAACCAGCCAGGTGCCCTCACAAGAAAAGCTTTTAAAATTAAAGGGAGGTCCCTGATTTCTGTCCTTCTTTAGCACCAGTGTCCCTGGGGCTGGACCCAATTACTTTTGTCATTGCTTTAATCCTGTTCTAGAAGCAGGAGGGCCAGTGTCATCATTCTGAAGCCTAAGTTCTCACTGATCTCCACTCTCTCCGTCTGTCTCCTTTGGAGCCTCATCCCTCTAATTCTTTCTGTCCATTGCTCCCTGTCACCTCTGTCCCAGCAGGCAGGCCAATGCGACATCCCCAGAAACCTCCCAGCTGGCTTGGGGGATCCCTGTGGCCCGGTTATAAGCTCACGCTTTCCTTCTTGGCCTAAAAGTCAGCCTATGCCAGGAGTCTCAAAGGTGTCCATCGCCCACCACCAGCTCCCCATTCACGGGCTCCCATGAGACACTCACCAGGTCAGCATCACTCCAGAGAGGAACGTGGACACGTAGTGGTGAGACACCCACCAGCCTTTAATTCTTGGAGATAAGAGAAGGAAAGGGGGTTCAGGTGGGGAGGGAAACACAGGTGGCTCTTGCTTCCCAGACTATGAGTGCATGGGCTATTCTGCAGCCCCCAGTCATGACACAGGCCCTAGCCATGATTTTTCCCTTTCCTTTGTCCTCCAGAGATGCACGATCACACGTAAACCACCCACAGATTGGTCAAGAGGCCCAAAGAAGCACTCGGGCCTCCAGGGGCTTCCAGCTACCCTAAAAGCACATCCCTCACCGCACCCCAACTTCAAGCCCTGTCTCCTGTCCTCTCCTTGAACCTGCCAAGCCCATTACCATCTCAGGGCCTGTTATGGGCAGAACTGTGTGCCCCCCAAATTCCTATGTTGTAGTCCTAACCCCCTTAGGGCTAGTACCTTAGAATTTGGCTGTATTTGGAGATAAGAACTTTAAAGAAGAGGTAAGGTTAAATGAGGTCCTAAGGGTGGGCCCTCACCCAACAGGGCTGGTGTCTGTGCAGGGGGGAGACACCAGGGGTGGGTACGCTCACAGAGAAATGGCTCCCCAAAGACACGGTGGCATCTGCAGGCCAAGGAGAGGCCTCAGGAGAAACCACTGGGGCTGGCACCTTGATTTTGGACTTCCAGGCTCCAGAATTGTGAGAAAATAGATTTCTGTCATTTCAGCCGCCCAGCCTGTGGTCATTTGTCACAGCAGCCCACACAGACCAACAGGGCCTTTGGACTGCTATTCTCTCTGCTCTGAGAACTTGGCCTGCCTGGTTCCTGGTCCAAATTCAAGTTTGGACCAACTGTCACCTCCTCCGAAAGGCCTTCTCTGGCTACCTTATCTAAAACAGCCAGGAAGCCCCACTCTGGATCACACTGCCCGGTTTTATTTTCTTCATGGGGCTTACCACTATCTGAAATTATTCATTTCTTTCCCTCGGCTTGTTCTCTGACCCCTCTTCCCCGCTCACATGTAAACATCAGGAGAGCTGGGGTCTTATCCATGTTCTTCATCGGTGTATCTGTGACACCTGGCTCCGAGCAGGTGCTCAGTGTGTTGAATTAACACAGCATATGTGCACACACACATACACACTCACGCTCTCCCGGAGCTATAGCTACCTGTTATCCCACACAGACACAGAGAAATGCCAGACTGCCCACACAGCATCTCAGCATCCCAGACGCACTTTCTCCCCGGGAGCTCACACCCTGGGCTCATCCACTCCCCTATCGGCAGCAGGCCCTTACCCAGCCCTGGACTTCATGTGTCCAGTCCAGAAGCTGTGGGAACCCTGGTTTCAGAACCCGGTACTCCCCCAACTGAGAGATCTCATTCCACAGCAGGGGTGGGAGCCTCGTTGTCACCCCGTCCTCCATGTCAATGTCCCAGCCTAGGCTGAAAGCTGGACCCTCAAACCCTTGCCCTTCAAAGTCCTTGAGTCTGTCTCTGGCCTCTGCTGGCCTCCTCCAGCCCCTGTCTCGGAGCTCAATGAATACAATGTGGCAATGGTTTGCTTTGCCAAATACAGCCTGGGAGCAGCGGGGCTCCTGCCTCCCAAGAACTGGGCGGTACAAACTGGGCGCCTCAAACCCTCACCAGGGCTTGATTCCAAGCTTTAAAATTTCAGCCAGTCTTATTGGGTGAAAATTGGTATGTTGTTGAGGCGTGGCGTTCACGAGCCCCTCAGCCATCTGCACACTCCAGGGTGCTGAGCTGATTTTGTGCACGTTTATGCAACCGTATTACTGTCACTTAATTCAAATGTCATACAATTCCCCCATTTAAATAACACACGTCAACGGTTTTTAGTACATTCACACAGTTGTACAACCATGAGCACTCTCAAATTTTAGGACATTTTTATCACCCCAAAAGAAACCTGGACCCATTAGTGGTCACTCTTTGGGCCTGTTCTGCCATGGAAATACAGCCTGCACGGCCTATGGGCATTGTAATGAGCAGACAGCAGACAACCCATTAAGAGTGGCACACACAGCTACGGTGTAGGAATAGCACGGCCTGCTATCTGGGAATTGTGCCCGAGCATACCATGGCTCTCCTTTAGGGACACCTTAGCCACGTGGGCACCACTCATAGGCACCAGCAGCCACAGACTGTTTCTGGCTTGGAGCTTCGGGCCACGTGGCAGGTGGGGGAATGGCTTCCACACTGAGGATCCCTCCCTCCTGGCCGCCCCTACACGGCTTTATCCCAGGAAAGGCCCCTCTAATAGCCGGTTGGAAGCAGGCTCCCATGCGCTGGCTGGCCAGAAAAGCTAACATGATCCCTGATTCATTATTTATTCTGGCCCAGAACTAACTGCAGAGGACATCTGCTGTTTTGCCTCTCCGTCAATCACCCCACCCCCACTCCACCCCCTACGTTCTGGTCGCACGCCAGGCCTTTCTTTGGGTGAACCACCTCACTCAGTCTGGGTGGCTGAGGGGGAGCGGGAGTGATATAACTGGGCACGTGACTCAGAGCCAGCCAACCAGGGCTCTGCATCCCCTCCCCCAGCCACACTGATTGGCTCAGGAATGAGCATGTGACCTCATCCGAGCCAATCAAAAATCTTGTGTCAAAATTACAACTCACCCTGCAAAGGAAAGAGCTCTTTCCTGTGAGATTGTCAGTCTGGCGGGATGGTGGTCTGGGCTGCCAGAAGCCAGTGCTTCCAAGTGGGGGCAAGAGATCAGGGTGGAGGACGGTTAGCACTGTGTGAGCCCTTTGCACCTCCTTGAACCATTGATATACAGGTACACTTTAGAGATACTGTGGCTTCCCTTTCAGGGAATAAAGCAAATGTCACGATAAAGCGAGTCGAATGAAGTTTCTGGTTTTCCAGTGCCTCTCAAAGTTACATTTACACTATACAGTAGTCTAGTAAGTGTGAAATAGCAGGTCTAGAAGAACAATGTACATACCTTAATTTAAAAAAAAAACAGTGCTAAAAAATGCTAACCATCATCTGGGCTTTCAGCAAATTGTAATCACTGATTTCAGATCATCATAACAAATATAATAATAATGAAGAAGTTTGAAATACTGCAAGAATTATCAAAATGTGACAGAGACACAAAATGAGCAAATGCTGTTGGGAAAATGGCGCCAACAGACCTGCTGTACACGAGGTTGTCACAAACACTTAATTTGTAACACACACACACACACACACACACACAAATACCTACATAGTGCAATTAGACAGGTATGCCTATATATGTTCTCCTTTCATATTTACTCCTATCAGGCTGTTTCCCTCATTTGCAGGATTTCCAAGGGAACGTGATTTGCTTATTGCATTGAGCTAATGAGCTACAGCTTCCAGTCCTTCCAGAAGATAAAGCACCAAGCCCACCCCACCCATTCCAGACCCCAGCCCCCATCACATCCAAACCCCTGCCCCAGGACAAAGCAGGCACACAGGCCCAGAGGAACAGCACAATTACAACTTCAGATGTAGGCTGAAGTGTTAGGCACATGAGGCCTGGCTTTGGAGCTTCATTTCTACCCCACCTCCAGGGCCATGTCCTCCTCCTCACTTTCCTGGTGTGCCCCACACTTGCAGGGACCTCCACTCAGTCCTGTTCCCTTCCCTCTAGTAATCACACCACACACTGCCCCCCACACACAGCTCGTCCCACTAGATAAAGAGCTGACCAGAGTAACTCTTAATAAAGTAAGTAAGCTTTAGTAACTCTTACTAAAGTAAGAGTAACTCTTACTAAAGTGTTAGTGATTGTTAGAGATGTGGCATGCCTCTGAAGACTCAATACGAATCCATCAGAAGGATGAAACTGTAAGACTGGCAGCAAGCCCATGGGAACAGTAGAGAATTTATGACAAGGAGGCCTTGCCATTTGCCCTGGCCCTCTCTCCCCACTACCTGCCACCCTGGCTCCCCTCCAACGACACCCAAAAGCAGAAAGATACTATTCAGTAAAATTAAGGAAGACTATGAATGTTATTTCCTTGGTAAGATTTTCTACTTCAGTGTTTCCCAAAGCATGGGGTGCGTACCACCAAGTTTTAGATGACACTCAAGCATAACTGTAGGTGATACTGAACCAGGTGGCGAGAGGTCATCTGTTCAGTTCTTTGGTCTCCCGATTAAGTCAAGGAGTCTCTTTAATGCCTCTCAAGGCCCACTAATCTCCCTTTTTATACACAAGTACATACACGGAGAGACAGCAGGCCTCAGGCTCAGAACCTCCTGGAAGCGAGAATAATTGACTTCAATACGTTATACAAGGAAAACAAAAGATTTTTATACTACTTCCTCTTTCCTGCAACTGATGCTGGCGTTCCACGTACAGTGATGAAATAAAATTTCCTTTTAAAATAAACTAGTATTTACTTAAGTTAGAAAAAAAAAGGGAGGTTGATTTAGAATGTTGAAAATTATCATCCGGGTGATACACAGAAAAGGCAAAAATGGCGAGGATAGGTCACGAATAAGTGCTGTTTGAGAAACACTGATCTTTTCTAACGGGCTACATGCTACGGGGCTGCATACCTAAAAAATCGCTGGGCCCCTGGTCCTTACCTCTGGGCTCTACCTTCAGGTTAAGGCCCGGCAGGGCAGGGATCTGCCATAAGAGACCACTGGGCAGAAAAGTGAAAAGGTGGCAAATTATTTAGGGGTTTGCAGACACCCCCAATCTTAAATACACAGTTCATGACGTTCCTTACTAGCGCCCAAGAGGGGGAAGCAGGGAGGGGCTGGGAGGTTGTTACCTTCCGTTTCAGGGAAAAACAGAGACAAGCATGGTACACAGAGAAGAAACGGGTTACCCCAGAAAGGAAATCAGATGTATGGAAAATGGGTCCCATAGGTGGCAAATCATGGGTCTTAATTGGGCCCCAAGACTCTCAGCTCAGAGACAGGTGGGGTAGGAAGGAGAGTGACAAAAGAGCAGGGCTCCTCGTATTTGCAGCCCCTCAGAGGTGGGGACCCCTCCAACTGTGCCTCCATTCACCCAGTAATGCTGAGGCACATGTCCCCATGGGGCTGTGAAATAGCCCAGGGAGGGGACTTCAGTTGCCCAGAGCCACAGAGCCACTCAGCAACTGCCGTGGGACTAGAACTCAGGAATCCTCATTCCCAGCTTGGCTGTCTTCCTCCTTAGCACTGCCTGGGTAACAAGGCAGGTTTGAACCAAGACCCTCTCTACCTGTCCTCCATCCTTTCCATCTCCCTGTGGGGGACCACCTTCACCACCATGAATCCATTCATCCTTCTAATGACACTATCCCAATTTTCCTCTGGGAACCCACCCACTGTCCCCTTGACACTCAGCTCCTAGGCTTCTGATGGTGGCCTGCAGGGGCGGGCACGAGGCTCAAGCCTGACCAATCAGAGCCGTGCATTCTCTGACCACAGTGATTGGTTCAGAGACAGGCACAGGATTCAGCAGGTGCCAATGGGACCCAGTGAGACTCTTGGAAAACAGCAAGGTGCCCTATTTTGCTGGGAACGTTAGAAATAAAAGATGTGGGCCCAGAGCTCTGGGATGCCTTTGCATGGAGCCTGAGAATAAAGATAGCATCACAGAAGGCAGAAGTGAGGGATGTAGAGAAAGTGGATCCTGACACCATTGTTTAAACACCTGGATTAAGCCTGACCTGAAGTCAGTCCCAGCAGACCTGTTCCTTGAGAGGAGAAAACCAATTTTCTGTTGTGTTAAACCTCTCTGAGTTAGAGTTCTTGGTAAGCAGGAGACCACGGAAGGTGGCCCCGCAGCAGCAGACATGGTTTTCCTCCACCCTGGGGCAGTCAGGGACACCCTGCCCCTCCCCAGAGAAAGGGAATATGGGCTAAGGGTGCCAGCTCTCACATGCATCCCTTCCATGACAGACCTCCCTTTGGATCCCCCAATGCCCCCCGCAAAGCCGGGCCCCCAATTACCTTGAGCCATTGCTGATGAGAATACTTTCTCGAATTGTCAGGGTGCAGTAATACCACACCAGCAGGAAGTTAAAAACTTCGTCCGTCACCCTGGTGGAAAGAAATAGCCCCGGGGAGGAGCGCAGGCATAAGAACCAGGGATGGCTCTTACCACCCCCCGCCCCCCCCCCCCGCCCCAGGGCAACAGTACAGCAAACCAGGCTGCCTCTGGGAACAAACCCCCCGACCCCATCCTGCAGAAGACAGAGTAAGCGTGGCTGCCACCTAGCCTGCCTGTCCCCCTCCTCACCTTTCTGCCAGAATCCTGCTTGCTTTTAAGGCTCTAGCTGAGGTTTTGTCCCCTTCCCTGAGCACTGGGACACCCTTGTTCCCTTCTACGTTCTTACTGTCTGATGTAAAATTTTTGGTCAAGGGCAACAGGAGGACTTCAAGCAGAAAACTGAGTGTCTTAAACTGTCTACAGTGTAAGTGTAATTTACAAACGTCAATTCCCTTCCTTCCCCTTAAAAGATCTATAAGCTTTGTTGCACTTACAAAAGAATTCTTTTTTTTTTTTTTTAAGATTTTATTTATTTGGCAGAGAGAGACACTGCGAGAGAGGGAACGCAAGCAGGGGGAATGGGAGAGGGAGACGCAGGCTGCCCGCTGAGCAGGGAGCCCGATGCGGGGCTCAATCCCAGGACCCTGGGATCATGACCCGAGCCAAAGGCAGACTCTTAACGACTGAGCCACCCCAGTGCCCACAAAAAAATTCTTATGGCCCGAATGGTCTGTAAGATGAATTAAGAACCCCTGCCTCCTCTGCAGTCCTCGTGGCCCAGAGTCGGGCAGAGAGGCCGGAGCTGGTGCTGTGCCCTGGTCAGAGCGGAGAGCTGGCAGAGACATGGCATGTGACCTCACCAGAGACCTCCCCCCACCACCGCCCTGGCCTCAGCTTTGCTGTGAGATTCGCGGACTGACCCCCTGAGTATGGCTCGGTGAAGGGTCCCGGGGCAGAGCCTATGACACACGGCCCCTCAGAACCTCCCCTACCACTGACTCTAATGGAGACTCTAGCTTCCAACCCAAAGGGAAGCACCTCTGTCCTTTCCAGTGCCAGACAAATCCTTTCACGACTGTGGGGGGGGGGGCGGTATCCACCTGTACCGGGGAGGGAGAAACTCCCCATGTCCTCCATTTCCATATCCGAACTGGGACAACTACAATAACCCTGGGAGGGAAATGGAAAAGTATGACTCAAACAGTAAGAGCCGAAGTTGGAAGGTTGGCTTTTAAGCGATGTCACCCTGTTCTGTGGTCACAGATGACAGACTTTCTACCCCAAGCCCTCCTGAGCCATTGCCTGCGGAGGGCCGGGAACCATCACCCTGGGAGGGCCAGAAACGGACTCTGGAAGCTCAGGACCCAAGTTCAAATCCCAGGGGCAAGTCGGTGATTCTCCCGTGCGATCACTCCTGCACTGAAGCAGGGAGAATGAGAGCAGCTCCCGTGTAGGCTGGAGTTTAACCCAGGAAGCATGGGGAACGGGGCCTGGGGCATAGGAAGGGCTCCCTGCATTCTCTATTGTAACTTTGGGAAGGATCACAGAGTACCCGAAGCCTGAGAAATGAGTCTCAGATGTTGAGTTCTGAAGAAATCAAAAGCCTACTTGACTTGAATGGGGTGTTGGGGTGGGGAGGGCCTCCCGAGGGCAGAGGGTCACTCAGACACCGACACCAACTTCCGAGCTCCCCTTCAGGCAGGAGGCAGGCCCAATAGTGAGTCGTGAGTCGTGGTTACCAGGATGTTTCTCCCTGGGCCTTTCTTACACCTTCTCCGTAAAGAGGGGAATTAAAAGTAAGGTTTTATGGCCCCAGCACTTCAGGGAAATGCTTGAGGTGCCGGCCCCAGCCTTCTCAGCCAGAGTGTATGAGCTCCCTGTTGCAGCTATAACAAAAGACTTAGTGGCTGAAAGCAGCACACATTTAATCTCTTACAGTTCTGGAGGTCGGAGGTCTGAAATGGGGAGGGCTGGGTTCCTTCCGGAGGCTCTCGGGGAGAGTGCCCTTGCTAACCTGTGCTGGCTTCTAGACACTCCTGCATTCCTTGTTTTGTGGCATCACGTTTCCTTCTCCGACTCTGACCCTCAAACCTCCCTCTTATAAGGATCCCTGGACTTACTGAATAATCCAGGATAATCTCTTCTCAAGTTCCTTCACTTAATCTATCTGCAGAGATGTTGTGCCAAGCAAGGTCACACGCACCTCTTCGGGACCACGAGTCGGGCCACGCCAGGCCAGTTCTAATTACCGGGAACTTGCAACGCCACAGGCATTTCACGTGGACGATCTCTCTGAATCCTCGTCCAACCCTACAGGATGGCTTCCTGTGGCAGATGCACTTAACCACATCTGTGCCCGTCGACAGAGCTCCCGACAGCCAACCCTGCCATTCCTGGCACGCCTGGCTTTCTCAGGCCCCCGCTGCTGTGAGAGGCAGGTTGGGGCCAGGGGGAACTGATGCCCTCTGGAAACGGTCTTCAAGTCCCCTAACCAACAGCAGCTGGAAGATAAACACCCTTGCTCCCTCGCCCCTCAAGTGGGTAACTAAGGCATGTTCCATGCTGTCCCCCAGTTCTCCAGATGCCTACAGGGGAGCCCCTCCTGTCTCACTTCCCATTCCCCTACCAATGTTTCCTGGGATCACCTCTGAAAGAAACTACTGGCACTCAAATGCTTGTCTTGGGGTTGCCTCTGGGGGAACACACAACAAGACAGGCCAACTTCCCATTTTATAGATGAGGACACTGAGGCCCAGAGAGAGGAAGCAAGCTGCCCCGGAGTGAGATCCAAAACCAAGCCCCAACTAACCTGAGCTTAACTCCAACCACCTTTTCCCTGCAGCTTTAAAACCAAATCCTGAGAGAGAACAGTACTAAGTAGATCCAGCCTCTAAGCCTGAAGGCAGAAGAAAGAGGCATCGCACTCTCCAGCAGCCTCACCAAAGCCTCCCAAGGACCAGACAGCACAGGCAGATGTCTTCTGGCCACGGGAAAGACAGGAAGCAAATGGAGAGAGAGCAAGGGCTCTACTCAAGGTCACACAATCTGTGAGTGGCAGACCTGGACCTAGAACCCACCGTAGAAGGGCCTTTCTGTGGGGCCCCCAGCAAGGAAACCATCCCAAGGGGGCAAGAGTAAGGAAAGAGAATCCTGCTCCTTGGAGGCACTGGATATTAAGCGGCGGTCTCTTCCAGCCTGCCCAGCCTTAGCGCAAAATGCTGGCAGCGATCACAACGTGCCTTATGTGCCAGGCACTACTGTAAACACTGCAAATAGGGACGCCTGGGTGGCTCCGTGGGTTAAGCCTCTGCCTTCGGCTCAGGTCATGATCCCAGAGTCCTGGGATCGAGCCCCACATCGGGCTCTCTGCCCAGCAGGGAGCCTGCTTCCCACCCCCCTCTGCCTACTTAGGAACTCTCTCTCTCTGTCAAATAAATAAATAAAATCTAAAAAAATAAAAAATAAAGACTGCAAATAGAACCTATCCGGTCCTCTCAGCCATCCTCAGCTACCAAGTAGCTCCCGTTACCCTCATTTTGTGTGTGAAGAAACCCAGGTGGGGAGAGGTTACGTCATTTGCCCAAGGTCAAACAGACTTCCCTGAAGGCAGAACAGAGAGGAGCTGCCTGTCCAGCCCCCTTCCCCCGTCCTATTTTTAACCCACGGAAGGTATACTAGTGTTGCCTCAAAATTCATGTCCACCCAGGACCTCAGAATATGACATTTGGAAACAGTGTCTTTGCAAATTTAATTAGTTAAGACAAGGTCATAACAGGTTAGGGTAGGCCCTGAATCCAAAGACTGGTGTCCTCCCGAGAAGGCCATGAGACAAAGACAGGGACACACAGGGAAGGGGGCTACGTGACAAGATTGAGGCACAGGAGGCTGAGAGTGGCAAGAAGCAGCTTTAAGCCGAGGAAGGCCAAGGAAGCCGGCAGCCCTCAGGCTGGAAGAGGCAAGACGGGACCTTCCCCTACAGCCTTCAGAGCGAGCATGGTCCCACCAACACCTTGATTTCAGACTTCTGGCCTCTAGCACTGTGTGAGAATAGATTTCTGTTGTCCCAAGCCTACCAGTTTGTGGTGCTTTGTTATACGAGCCCCGGGAAATGAATACAGAAAGGGATGGGGAGAAACCGAGACAGCCAGGCCCTCGCTGAACTTTAAAACCAACCACAGGTTTGCCCTTTGAGGGCCCCAGATGTGCCAGCGCCAGGGAATCTGGCTGCACATCGAGAACGTCTCTCTCTTCCAGAGGGGCATGTGAGCGGGCAGTGCTGATGTGTGCAGCCTTTAGCCTCTGGGGAAACAGGCCAGCCCGAGGCAGCAGGCAGGCATGGGCCCAGGACCTAAAAGAGCCTTTGTCTGGACATTCAAGTGGCCAGACCAGAAACCGGACTCCCAGCCAAGCCCTTGCCAGCAAATAAGCCCGACACAAGGGCCAGATGCCCAAGCTGTACTCAGCTGCCTCCCCTCAAGGCACAAAACCCAGGGCTCGGGGAGGAATGAAACCCCATGAGGCACTGGCCTTCAGCCTCTCAGAGCCACGTGGCTTCTTCCTGCTCCAGAAGCAGCGGCTGGCGCTCTCTCTCCCCAGCACCGCTGGTGCCCGGCAGAGCCCTCCGCACGCAGTGCTAACAAAGCCTGGTGTCACCCCCGTTTTACAGATGGGGAGACTGAGGCTCCCGGAGGGAACCTGCTCATGGTAACAGCCAGTCAGTCCCAAAGCCAGGATTCAAACCCAGGCAGGCTTTTTTTCTTTTTTCTCTTTTCTTCCTTCCCTTCCTTTTTTCTTGCTTTCTCTTTTTATAACTGATACATAATTCACATACCATAAAATTCACCCTCTCAAAGTGCCTAATTCATTACTTTTTAGTATATTCACAGAGCTATACATTCATTGTCTCTATCTAATTCTGGAACATTCTCTTCACTCCAAAAGAAACCCCTTCCTCATCAACAGCACCCACCCCCACCCCCACCCAGCTCCTGACCACTAATCTGCTTTCTGCCTCTATCGATTCACCTGTTCTGGATATTTCATAAAAGTGTAATCAGACAATATGTGACTGGCTTCTTTCTCCAAACATAACATTGTCAGACCCATGTTGTAGCATGTGTCACTACTGTATTCCTACTCGTTACCGGAATAATATTCCATTGTGTGGATGTGCCACTAGGCTCTTTCCTAACTCCTGGTTATAAGGTCTCTCCAGTAGTGGTTCAGTAGGTATTTGTTGGACGGATGTCGAGTAGACAGGACTGCTGTTCTGCATAAGAAAAGGCTCTTCTCTACCTACAATCACCCAAACACTGCAGATGCAGGAGAGACCCCCCACCAGCCCCCACCAAACCTACACACACCACCATGTTTCCTGTTACCTGTAGTGAAGGACAAATCGACAGGCCACAGCCCCTAGGAGCAGGATGATGGTCAGGTAGAGCTTGAACTTCTCATACTCATCCTTGTAAGCAAATCTGCAATGACAGACACCCCCAGGAAAGGTCATGTAACTATTACTATAGTTACAGTAATATAACTATATCCCGTCTGGGGACACAATCCTCGGCACCATCAGATCCTCTGCCTACCACCAGCCACTGCCCACAAGAACCTCGTGATCCCACTAAAGGAAAGCGCTGGCCTTGAATGAACGGTGATGGTCAATGAGAGAAAGAAGACCGATGGGCAAAGCTTCCCACGTCCCTGGGCTCCTGGGGTAGGTCTCTGGGCTGGTGATGGGGATGGGCAGGGGGTGGAGAAGAGCTCCTCCCTAATCAGCTACGGCAGCAGAAACGCCACAGCTCGACCACCCCTGGGACTGACTGATTTCAGGTGGACAACACTGCCTGCTTCCCAGGAGAACCGTGTGTGATGAGGGGTGGAACGGAGCAGGGACTGTTTCTCATGGGAGAGTGGCAGTTCTGCTCACCCAACGTACTGAGTACATGAAAAGAAGGAAGGAACACTCCCAAGGTGGTCTCCTCACTGAGCAGGAGAGTGTCAGAAAGACCAAGGGCCACAGCCCATACTATAAATTTTTTTTATTTACACAAAAATTCTAGCTAGTTCATTTCTTCTAAGTTGAAAGGGCAAAATTCCTGGATTCCCTAAAGTCAGGCGGGGGTCAGAGATACTTACTTGGCCTGGTTGCTGAGAAGGGTCACATTTACATTGCCAAGGACGAGATTTAAGTAGAGCCTGGAAGGAAAGGACTAGTGAGGGCTGACTCATTTCTTACCAGCCCTAGGAATGGGCCCCAACCAAAAACATTCAAACAATAAGCATGCCTTGAGCATCGATGTTAGAAAATAGCGTGCTAAACTCAGCAGTAAAATTCTCACATGGAGAATAAAGACTAACTAGAGAATGAGACAACTGTGACACATGCAGTCATGACTAAACCATTTCCCCCCATCTTAGCTGGCTTAGAGACCATATTTCCCAGGCTCCCATGCAGCTCGTGTGACCATGTGACTGAGTTCCAGCCAATGAGGTGATGGCATGTGTACAATCTCTACAAATCTCTAGGTCAATTTAAAAAGGGTTCTTTTTTTTTTTTTTTTAAGATTTTGTTTATTTATTTGGCAGACAGAGATCACAAGTAGGCAGAGAGGCAGGCAGAGAGAGGGGAAGGGAAGCAGGCTCCCCACAGAGCAGAGAGCCCGATGTGGGGCTCAATCCCAGGACCCTGAGATCATGACCTGAGCGAAAGGCAGAGGCTTTAACCCACTGAGCCACCCAGACGCCCCAGAAAGGGTTCTTTTTTAAAACTGAGGTATAACCTTCAGTATATTTATAGGTATACCTATAGTATATTTTATGCCTGGCTTCTTCCCTCAATACTATGTCTGTGAGGTTCACCCACATTGTCTGTGTACAGTGTTCCCCTGAGTGGACACCCCACAACTTATTTATTCATTCTACTACTGATACACACTTATGTTGTCTTCAGTTTTTGGCTAATAGAAATACGCTGCTGTGAACAGCTTTCTTTCTTTTTTCTTTTTTTTCCTAACTGAGATGTAATTCACATACCATAATATGATCCTTTAAAAAAAAAAAAAGTTTTATTTATTTATTTATTTAAGTGATCTCTACACCCCTCATGGGATTCGAACTAACAACCCTAAGGATCGAAAGTTGCACCCTCTTCCAACTAAGCCCACCAGGCATCCCTGTAACATCACCCTTTTCAAGCACACAACTTCATGGTTTCCAGTATATTCACAACATTGTATAGCAACATCACCATTACTTAATTCTATACCTTTTTTTTTTTAAAGATTTTATTTATTTATTTTACAGACAGAGATCACAAGTAGGCAAAGAGGCAGGCAGAGAGAGACAGAGAAGCAGGCTCCCTGCCGAGCAGAGAGCCCGATTCGGGACTTGATCCCAGGACCCTGGGATCACGACCTGAGCCGAAGGCAGAGGCTTTAACCCACTGAGCCACCCAGGCTCTAGACCATTCTAGACCATTTTCGTCATCCCGAAAGAAAGCCCATACCCATCAGCAGTCACTCCCTTTCCACCCTCCCACAGCACCTGGCAACCACTATCTATTGCACATGTATGGATTTGCCTATTCTGGACATTTCACTTAAAAAAAGACTCTTGCAACATGGGACCTTTTGTGTCTGGATTCTTTGCTGTTGACCTTCTTATATATGTCTACTGGAGGCCAGAAGCACTCATTTCCATTGGCTATGCAGATAGGAGTGGAATTTCCAGATTATAGAATAAGTGTGTTTTTGGCTTCCCCAGGAAACAGCAAACTTTTTTTTCTAAAAGGTATCCGCTTGCCCTCCGCTCCCTGGAGATGTGACGGTGAGAGCCAGCTTTGGCCGCGTAGGTGAGGACAATTCCCTGAAGGGTGGTGAACCAGCGAGCTGGAGATGGACGCACCCTGAGTCCCTAGATGACCCCATGAGCCCACCACTCTTGGTCCCCTCAGCTCTGGACTGCTGTGTATGAAAAGAGAAACCTCCCCCTTGTTTGAGCCCCCGTATCACTGGGCTTTTGTTACGATAGCCCGTACTCTAACGGCACTAATAAAGATGCAAGTAAAGGGGCGCCTGGGTGGCTCAGTGGTTAAAGCCTCTGCCTTCGGCTCAGGTCATGATCCCAGGGTTCTGGGATCGAGCCCCACATCGGGCTCTCTGCTCGGTGGGGAGCCTGCTTCCTCCTCTCTCTCTGCTTGCCTCTGCCTACTTCTGATCTCTGTGTCAAATAAATAAATAAAATCTTAAAAAAAAAAAAGATGCAAGTAAAGAGTTACAAAATCTCAGGGGAGGAAGGGTTTAATTCTACAGAGGGAGGAGGGGTCTTTGGAAAGGCTTCACCAAGTTGGTAACATTTGAACTGGGCTTTGAAGGCTGAGTAGAAGGCTGAGAGGAGAAAAGCAAACAGAAAAGTCTTCTTTCTAGCTCTGAATAAATTCTAGGGGCATTTCTGGTCTGATGTAACTGGAACAGAGATATAAAAAGAACATCAGTTTTTTTCCCCCCTGCCTAGAGATACAGTCCCTACTTCCTGAAAGAGCAGTGCCATTTCCCTTCGGAGAATCTCTTTTCCCCTCCAGGTCCCGGGGTAAAGCATATGACCCAGCCTTAGCCAACCAAAGCACTGCATCCTCCTGATTGGGTCCATGATGGTCATGTGACACAACGGTCTCAGGCCAATGAGACTCAGTCCTGGGACTTTTCCCAGAACTACAAAGAAACAAAGAGGCTTTCTCTGCTGGAATTGCTAAGCTGGCAGAATGCAAACCCAGAGCGCCTGGGGCCAGCTTGTAGAGAAAGTCTCCCTAAGAGCAAGACACACATGGCAAAGGGAATAAAAGGAAAGCTCATGGAGAGACAGAGCCTAACAGTATCATTTGAGCAGCAGGATCCAGCCAGACCTGCAGCCACATCCGCACCTTGAGGTTACATAAGCCAGTAAATTGCCCATTTTTTTTGTAAGCACTCTGAGTTGGGCTTTCTGTCATTTGTAATCCAAAGATTTCCAACTGTTGCAAAATACGCAGAGGACTGAAGAGGCTGGAGCTGGGAAAGCGGACCTGGGCTGCTCTGTAAAAAAGGGTCATGGGGTTTCATTCTATGGAAAATTATCACCACCCAACTCAGGGAGTTCTTCTTGTGGCAAAAGAGGAGAAGCCAAGAGGAATGGCTTCAAGTGTAAAAGAGCTAGTAAGCCTCCTGACCAGGGGCTCTGATTCAGCCCTTAGGCAAAACTGGGAGAAAGGGCCACAGGGAAGTGATGGGAGTGCACTTAGCAGCCCACCTCGGGTTTTGATACAACACTGTCCGATCTCACTCTGGAACAGGTGGCAGTCATGTCACCTGAAATGGACTTCTCCAAAGGAGGAAGAGTGTTCACATCCAAACCTGGGCTGAGCCGCCTGAGCAGAACATCCCCCTGCCCCCAATGTCTTTGAACCTTGTAGAATTTGGATACCTGGGTCTGACTCACCAAGCTGTAGACAATTCAAGACAATTCATACAGCAGGCACTCAATACATGTTTGTTCTCAAAGGAAAAAAAAGAAAAAAGAGAGAGAGAGAGAGAAAGCAACAAACACACTCTTAAGTGCAGAGAACTGATGGTTACCAGAGGGGAGGGGGCGCAGGAGGGGTGAACTAGGCGATGGGGATGATGGAGTGCCCTTGTTGAGATGAGCACTGGGTGACGTATGGAAGTCCTGAATCACTCTGTTGTACACCTGAAACTAACACGATACTGTTTGTTAACTATCCTGGAATTTAAAATAAAAATAAAATCAGTGGGGGCGCCTGGCTCAGTGGGTTAAGCCTCTGCCTTTGGCTCAGGTCATGATCTCTGGGATCAAGCCCCAAATTGGGCTCTCTGCTCAGCAGGAGCCTGCTTCCCCCTCTCTCTCTGCCTGCTTCTCTGTGATCTCCGTCTGTCAAATAAATAAATAAGATCTTTAAAAAAATTAAAAAATTAAAAAAAATAAAATAAAAATAAAATAAAATAAATGTTTGTTCTTTGGGAGAAAACATCTTTCCTCTTCACCTCAGGTGACACCAGGCATGCAGCAGGTGCCGGAAACCAGATCTTGTATGTGGTTCCTCACAAAAGGCCTCCTGAGATCCCCTCCTGTTCCATGGAGGAATGTATGAGGAAGCCTCCTTCTCTTTCCTACCCTTGCTCCCCTCCTTTCCCCTCAACCTCAAGCCCTAGCAGGGAGATGGGAGTCACAAGACCAGGTATGCTAGGCCTGGGCATCTGCCCGCAGCAGGGGTCCAATAAGCTCCCGGCTCCTACCCATTCTTCTTGGGCAGGTAGGCCTCCATGTCGAAGAAGACGTTCTGCCGCTCCTTGATGTTGGCACTCATCTGCTGAATGAGCTCTGCCTCCTCCCGGCTGGCATGCTTCCTGTACCTGCTCGGTCAGAGATGTGGGCACAGGGAGAGCAGGGGTGTTACTCAGACTGGAGGAAGAATGTGGGAGTTCTGGGCACTGCCCTCCCATCTTTCTATCTCGATGCTTCTTACAACCTCAATCAGTCTCCTTGCCTGCCTGGGGATCACAGCACCCATTGGACTCCTTCACCTGTGGGGGAATGAAAGCACTTTCCAAACCATGAAGACATGAGGACTGGGAGGTGAACACATGATCGAGGCCTCAAGAACTGAACTGTCATGAGCGTAAGTATTTCCCCCTGGGAATCCCAGACCTCCTACCACCCAGACCAAAGACCTACAGCAACTTTCCTCCGGGAAACTACCTCTCATCCTCTTTCCCCCTCCATATGGTTCCAATAAGGCTCTTCCGTCCCCCAGGTCCATGAACTGAGCACATGACTCAGTACTGCCTAACCAGAGTCTCAGTGATTGGTTCACAGATGAACACGTGACCAATTCCAGACAATTAGGATCACACACAGAACTTTTGCTGAAAAACAAGTTATTCTCCTGGGGTAACCCAACCAAGAGGAAGGAAGGCTGGAGGACTTATATCTGGAAGATATAAGTTGGGCACTGCTGGCGGCCATCTCAGTGACCGTAAGGGGGCAGTCAGCCTGAGTGTGAAGCCAATCTAGAGGAAGGCAGAATTCAGAAAGGGGGGGAAAAACAAACAGATTCCTAAAAACATCTTTTGACCCCAGGATCCAGTGATGTCTGAAGCTACTCCTGGTTTTTTTTCCATTAAAATTTCCATTCTCTGCTTCAGCCAGCTTTGAGCTGGGTTTCTGTCCCTTAAAACCGAAGGAGCTCAGCCTCGCCTACCTCTGGAGTGTGTGCTTCAAGTCCTTCAGGCGCGTCTTCTGCTTGTTGATGGAGCCGCTACACAAAGTCTGGAGCGAGGTCAGCTCCTCCAGCTTCTGCTTGTAGATCCTGTGGGTTTCCTGGGGGATGGAGGGGCCCGAGCAGGGTGTACGGGAGAGTGTGAGTGGGTGGTTTTGCACAGCCGGACATGACTGTGGAAGTCGGTTTGAGAGCTAAGATGATACAACTACTACGATCAGAGAGGTGGCTTAGACAACTAGGACGGGAATTGGAGAATGCAGCACAGCACAGCACAGCACTTCTGTAAGGAACTCACGGATTTTTCCTACCCAGGTTCCATCCTTCCTAATAGGAACAGCAGCCAACTATGCCTCTGAGAGGCAACCTCTTGTCAACCACTACTTGGTCCAGGTGGTTTGAGTGGAGTCAAGAGTCTCCGCGTCAACAGCAGTCATGTGATCTGGATCACTGGCCTGGCCAATCAGTATCCTCCAATGCCCTAGCCACTGATTGGTTCAGAGGCAGTAGACACATGGCTCAAGCTGGGCCAATGAGAGTCAGCCCTGGGACTCTGATTTAGAAGTATTGGTTTAGAAATGCCCTCCTCCTTCTGGGTTTGCTAATCTGGGAGAAGGAACACCCGGGGCTGCTGAGCCAATGAAGCCAAACAGGAAAACAGAATTGCAATGCAGTATGGGACAGAATTCTCACCATCAACTGAGCCCTTAGATCTAACCAGGTCTGAATGTAATGCTCTTGGTGATATGATGCATAGACTCCTTTTCACTTAAGTCAGTCTGAGTTGGGTTTCTGATCCTGGCAATGAAGAGAGCTTTTGCTAAGCCAACTAAGAAAAGGACACACCTCTTCCCTTAGAGCGCCCCTCCCTACCCCAGGCTCTGGAAATAACTACTCAGGACCGCAAGGCCTGGGGCAATACGAGAGCCTTCACCTCAAGGCAAGGAGAATGAACACATTAACTTAACTTCTCAGTCTTGCTGTCCCAGCACAACTCCAACAACGGTTCCGCCATATGCTCAGAAACAAGCCCTTTCCCCCAGTGTTCTGATAATCTAAGACAAGCACCAACAATTTGGAGGAAACAATATGAGGGACAGGGACCATGAAATTAAAAACAATAACCCAATGAACATATTTAAAGTGTCTGTTTTCTTGGGTGGGGAGAAATGTATTTACCAAGGGAGAGAAAAAGGGGATAGTCAAAGGATGAGGCCAGAGCCTAAACCTGGTCTCCAGACATCTGCCACGCGGGGTCTCTAAATAGGACAGTCAAGCCAGAAAATAAAGAATCAAAGGCAATAAAGTGAACAGGTAACAATTAGGAGCAACATCAAAGAACACTGTGAGAAAGTTTCCCCTGAACCCGAGATGAGAGGGCCTGGTCCCCTGAATTCACACAGCACCCTCACTCTCTCCTTCCTGGGTCCCCGGAGAGGAAAATCATGTCTTTTACATAACTTTCTCTCTCTCTCTTTCTTTAAGATTTTATTTATTTATTTCACAGACAGAAATCACAAGTAGGCAGAGAAAGAGGGGGAAGCAGGCTCCCTGCTGAGCCGAAAGCCCGATGCGGGGCTCGATCCCAGAATCCTGGAATCATGACCTGAGCCGAAGGCAGAGGCTTCAACCCACTGAGCCACCCAGGCGCCCCTAACTTTCTCTTTTTAAATACTTTCAACCTTGCTAAAGAATTGTAGGAATACAAAGAACCTCCCCCCTACCCTTCACCCAGATTCACTAACTGTTGACGTTATGCCATACATATTTGCTTTATCGCGCGCGCGCGTGTGTGTGTGTGTGTGTGTGTGTGTGTGTTCTTGGTCTATATCAGGCAACAGTGAACTACAATCCACAGGCCAAATCTCCAGCCACCAGATTTTGCATGCAGTAAGCTAGGAACGGTTTTTGCCTGGCTGGGGGGAAAAAAAAATCAAAAGAATATTTCAGGACGCATGAGAAGTCCACGAAGTTGAAATTTCAGAATCCGTAAATAAACTTCATTGGAGCACAGCCACACCCGTTCGTTTGCATATGGCCGAGGACACTGGTGCTGCGGCAGCGCAGGGAGTAGTTGTGACACAGACCATATGGCCCGCCAAAATCTAGGATCCTCATTACCTAGCCTTTCTGCCAAAAAAAAGTTTGCCTACTCCTTCCTAAACTAGTTGGTCATAGACAACATGCTTCTTTACTCTTAAACACTTCACAGCACCCATTTCCTAAGAACGTGGCATTCTCGGGGCACCTGGGTGGCTCCGTTGGTGATGCATCTGCCTTCGGCTCAGGTCATGATCCTGGGGTCCTGGGATTGAGCCACGAGTTGGGCTCCCAGCCGCTCCCTCTCCCTCTGATGCTCTCTCCACTCCTGCTCACTCTCTCTCTCAAATTAAATAAAATCTTGACAAAAAAAAAAAAAAAAAAGAACTCAACATTCTCTCATATATCCATAGTACAATGATCAAATCATTGTATCTCTTTAGGTTCCTTTAACAGTTCCTCAACATTTTTTTTTTTTTTAGATTTTATTTATTTATTTGACAGAGACAGACACAGCAAGAGAGGGAACACAAGCAGGGGGAGTGGGAGAGGGAGAAGCAGGCTTCCCGCTGAGCAGGGAGCCTGATGTGGGGCTCCATCCCAGAATCCTGGGATCATGACCTGAGCTGAAAGCAGACACTTAATGACTGAGCCACCCAGGCACCCCTCAACTTTGTCTTTCATGACATGGACTTTTTTTTTTTAACTTGACACAGAGAGAGAGAGATCACAAGTAGGCAGAGAGGCAGGCAGAGAGAGAGAGAGGAGGAAGTAGGCTCCCTGCCGGGCAGGGAGCCCGATTCGGGGCTCGATCCCAGGACCCTGAGACCACGACCTGAGCTGAAGGCAGAGGCTTAACCCTCTGGCTTAACCCAGGCACCCCATGACATGGACATTTTTAAAGGGTTCAGTCCAGTTGTTCGGAAGAATGTCCCTCCATCTGGGTTTGTCAGATATTTCCTCGTGAGCGAATTTTGGTTATGCTTTTGGGACAGAAATGCCATTAAAGTGATGCTGTGCCCTCGGTTTCTCCTATCAGGAGGGACACAGTGTCTGTGACGCTTTGATTGCTTGCTGCCCACTGCGTTCTCCATTCACAGTGACCAGCTTCCTATCTGTAATTAACAAGCACTCTGGAGAGAGGGAGGCTGTGACTTACTCCCTTTTGGGAATTCCGGGGCCCTCTACATTCAACTAATCTGCTAGTAATAAAGGAAACCCTCCAGAAAGGGACAGGAAGGATGGGGGCAGAGAGATCCCAAGTATGAGGCCTTGAAAAGGTGGGGCCTCTGACTCCGGAGTCCTCCGCAACAGCAGCTGAGGCTCTTGGAAGATAAAGGGCTCTGCTAACTCCTGGTACTCTGTGGGATGGGGCTCCCACCACAGAAAGATAAGACCAAGACCGCAACATCAGGCAGCCAGATGCTCACCAGGCCCTCCTGGATTTAAATTAATATTTAATTTCTTAAGTAAAACATGAAGACATTATCCTTGTTAAAAATTAAAACACTACCGCTATGCCTACAGTCTGCTATGACTATCCCACATCCTGTCTTCTCCCCTTTCTCCAGAGGTAACTACTGGTACCACTTTCTTCTGTCTATGTATTCTTCCAGACTGTAGCCTGGCATTTCTCTGTTCTATATAGACCTATTCCTATATATATGCACATAAAAATATATACATACATATGACAGATACACACTGTTGCAAAACCAAATTGTTCCTAATGCTTATTCACTTTTACTTCCTTTAGTAATAGGACCCCACTGAGTAGTAGCTGGGCACACAGCCATCCAGTAACAGACATTTCTCAGCCTCCCCCGCAGCTACATGTAGCAACAGGATGACAAGCTGGCCAAAGGGAGGCAGGTAGATGTGACGTGTGTAACGTCTGAACCACACCTTTATAAGGAGATGCTGGTCCTCCGCTGTCCCTCTCCCTAACAGGGATATGGTGACAACAGGTGCAGTTAGTTACCTTGAAACCAGAGATGGAAGCTGCGTGATGTCAATGGCAAAGCCCACTGTCCCTTCCCCAGCCAAGCCAAGCTCATGTGACCGAGCTTTTCCCCTGTGATGGTGTTAAAACATGATGGCCCATCCTTTAGCACGCCTCTCGTAGAGGTGGGATCTCTGTTCCCTCCTCTTAAATAGAGACAGGCTTGTGGCTGGTGTGACCAATAAAATATGGCAAGAGCAACACTACAGGCTCTGAGAAAAAAAGTCATGAAGCCCATGTGGCTTCCGCCTTATTGCTGGAACACTTCCTTTACAGGAAACGGTCCAACTACCCTGAAGCCACCATGTCGTACGGAAATCCTAGCCACACAGAGAAGTCACACGTAGGACTCTGACCAACAGTCCCAAATGATACGAGCGTTCTCGTCACTGCAGCTCAGACATCTAGACGTGTGGGTAAAGAACCACCAGATGATTCCAGCCACAGCCAAGGAAGCTACTCCCATCCATTCAGTCTTCCCAGCTGAGATCTCCGACATCACAGAACGCAGTCAGGACATTCTCATCATGCCCTGTCTAAACTCCCGACCCACAGACTCCATGAGCCAAATGTAATCCTTGTCGTTTCACACATATGAACACACATAACTGAACACCACGTACCCCGGAGCACACCTCCCTTTCGGCTGTTCCGTGAGAAAGATGCTCTCTCATTTAAGCCTTCTTCTTCTTCTTTTTTTTTTTTTAAATTTGGGGATATCTTTGTTATAGCAGCTTAGCTTATATCTTAGCACATACTTTTGATTTTTAAAAAAATATATTAACTAGGGGGCCTGGGTGGCTCAGTGGGTTGAAGCCTCTGCCTTCAGCTCAGGTCGTGATCCCGGGGTCCTGGGATCAAGCCCTGCATCGGGCTCTCTGCTCAGCGGTGAGCCTGCTTCCTCCTCTCTCTCTGCCTGCCTCTCTGCCTACTTGTGATCTTTGTCAAATAAATAAATACAATCTTAAAAAAAAATACACACACACACACACACACACACACAGAGTATCAGGGGCACCTGGGTAGCTCGGTCATTAAGCATCTGCCTTCAGTTCAGAT